AACGTGTTAATCGTTGACACAGCATCTTCTGGTGGGTCTGCTCCATCCATTCCCCCTCTGCCTGTTTGGGAATGAAGTGGCTACTCACTGTCTGAAAAACAGGTTTCTTCACTTTGTTCATCTGTGCTGAACAGTCAGAGATTCCCGAGTTCCTCTTGGAGGCATCATGTCTAGGGTATGGCCAGCTGTTGCCAAACTTTCCTCCTCTCGTAGCTCCTTCTGAACAGAGACCATGGCCTCCTGTAGCTGGTGAGTCCATGCTCTGGCACGACTGGCACCTTCAAGGTCCCTTTTCCTGATGTTCTCCTCTGGGACCTGAGTCACCTCAGTTTTTCTTCCACAGAAATCTCTAGTGCTGTTGGTGAAACCTTTGCCCACATTGACCATATGGACTTTCTTTCCAACTCTCTTATTCTTCTTCCTGGTCTTGTTCTGGAATAAGAGGCAGGTGAAGACCTGCTTGAAACGCTTACGGAAATGCTTGGAGACAAGGGCATAGACAATGGGGTTGAGGCAGGAGTTGGCATATGAAAGGCAGTGGGAAGCTAGGCGGCAAGCGTAAGTGGCTCGGTTGAAGGGGAAGTGGCCAAACCAGAAGCACAGGATGACCAGGTGGTGGGGTAGCCAGCAGAGGCAGAACAGGATGGCCACAGCCACAATCATCTTGGTGACCTTACGCTTGGCCTTCCGGGACTCTGAGATCCTTTCTATGGGGTCAACGGAGGTCCACAGGAACTTGATGGTCCTGGCATATGCGAGGCTCACCACGGTCACAGGCAGGAGGTATCCAAAGACAAATGTGAGGATGTCCAGAATCTTTCGGCGCTGGTCCTCCCAGATGGGAATACAGATGGGCACCCCGTGGTAATGGACAACCTGGTAGTAACTGAGGTAAGGCCCTGCGAAGAGCACTGACAGTGACCAGATTGCTACAATAGCCACTCCTGCATTTCGGGAGGTGCGGAGATCCCGGGACTTCAGTGGATAACGAATGGCCAGGTACCTGATGAGGAGTGGAAGGAGAAGGAGATACCAAACACAACACGGGTGAGATGAGGTATGTCTCCTGCCCTGTGGAACTGCCCTCTGTGCACCCCTTCCCAAGCAGCCACCCATCTCTCCCACTCCTCACCTCTTGGTAGAGAGGCTTACAGTGCATTCTCATGGAGATCATGTGCTAACTCAGGAAGGGCAAAGCAGACTTTCTGAACCAGGCAAGAGAAGGATAGGAGCAGAAACCAAAGGGCTCGCTGTTTCTCCTGTGGTGGTTGCTGCCCTGTGTCTTTTGCTGTTCTTAGTTTGCATGGTGGACGCCAAACCTCAGCATGTGCCTGCACTCCTCCTTCCCAAGTGAAGGCTGGGGCTTGATTTGGTGCTAAGAGAGGGTCTAGGGAGCTGCAGAGTCTGGCTTTGCAGCCCTGCCTCTGGGAAGAACCCATCTGCTTCTTAAAGAACACTCAGCAGGGTAAGGACTGACCTTTCTCCCACTTTCTCCATTACCTCAAGAGGGGCAAACACATTGTCCCTGAGCTGAGGGACTCAAAGAGAAGGGGACATTTACCTGTCAACAGAGACAACAGCCAGGGTGAAGCTGCTGGCATACATGGTGAGGTAGATCAGGAAATGCACAGCCTTGCAAGCAAAGGCCCCAAAGAGCCAGCCGTCCAGGGTGTAAATGGTGGCCTGGAAGGGTACGCAGCAGATGATGAAGCACAGATCGGCCACGGCCAGGTTAAGGATGAAGAGGTTGGTGGTGTTGTACTTGACTTGGCCATTCTGCAGCAATACAGCCAGCACCAGCCCATTTCCCACAGTACCCAGGAGGAAGATGAAGGAGAAGATGATGGGCACAATAATCCCTGCTGCTCGTAGCTCCGGGCTGTCGGAAGAGGCGTTCCACTCCCCTGGCATCTCCCCATCTGACCACAGCGACCTGCACGGGAAGAAAGGGAGACACAGCACCTGGGCATGGCCTTACATAGGCATGTGGGTGCTGGTTGATGTTGACCAGAGTGGCCACCAGAGCTCTGGCCCTAAGATGCCTGATCTCAGCCTTTGTTTGATGCCCGAGTTTCTCCCAGAAATGGCAATCCCAACCAACTGTTTAAATGACAAGGTGCTCGTGACATCGCTGGCAAGAAAGTTGCTGGGATCAGTCAGCCCACATCCGTCCTGCTGGCATGGAGCTGAAGCCTCTTTCTCCTGCCCAGATTCATATCCCCATCATAGCATCCCTTGTGCTGCCAGTCCCCTGAAGGATCTTCTGCCCTGCTGCCTGGCCTCCTCTACATTCTTCCTACGGTCCCAAAGCCACTAAACTTTTTGGGATCACTTGCTTTGGCAAGTTTAAATCCTGTCTGGTGTTCAACAGGCCTTGGCCACGAGTCCATGGGGAAGGGAGCTCCCGTGGGAGTGGTCCTGGCACACTCACTCCGGGGCTGTGCCACCTCTGGCAGCGGGGACCTGATGCCTGGATAACACCCTGCAGCAGCAGCACCCCACCATGCTCCCACCCCAGGGGAGCTCCTTAAGCTGAGACCACCTTCACTCTGGAGCTGGCAGCTCCTTTATCCCTGTGCAGTAGTTATGCTCCACAGAGGAGAGGCAACTAAGGGCGTCTTTTCATGGTGCCGAGGGGTGGTCACAGGTTGGATGGTGGCAGCTAGGAGAGGATGGGGGAGGGACCTCAGAACTGCCTGAGAAACAACACGATTATCATTACGGAGGAGGTTATTATTGCCACAGTTCAAGATATTGCAATTTGCTGCAAAACTTCCTCCAGCTCTGAGTAACAGGCGGGGAGCACCAACGGCCTATCTGCTAACGAGCCTTCCCTGTGTTGTGCTATCATTAGAACAAATTGTCCTTTTCTGAGCAGCAACTGAGAGGGAAAGACATCAGTATCTAACAACTGTTGACATGCAATTAACTCTTTTTTGGGTCGTGCAGGCTCCTTCACCCCATGCACCCCCATTTCTCAGATCACACCACTTCTCCTTCCCAGCAACATCTCTGTATCACACCAAAAGGTTGTTCCTGCCTCTCTGGCTCTGCAGTCCCCTCTGACCAAGTGGTAACTATCTAGTTTATCCATCCAGCCCCTGGGATCTCCTTGCTTGCGGAGAGGACCCTGGTCTCCCTCTGGGCATTCACCTTGAATGCAGACTGTGGGGCACCTCTGGGCACCAATGTGTCCCTGCTCAGGGAGCCCGAGGCCACCTCTCAGCTTGGGAAGCAGGCACTCACCTCTGCGAAGAAGGGCCTGCAGCTTCGTGGATTGCTCACGGGAGGCCTCCGGTCCAGCTGAGCCAGCGGTGGTGAGGAGGACGTGGGCCACAGAAGAGTTTGTCCACACAGCACTGCCACCCCTGCCTCCCAACCGACCCCCGTGCTGCCACCTCTCTGCCTCCCCCTGCCCACTGCCAGCTCTGCTCTCTTCTGGCTCCCACTGGCATCTCTTTCCTTCTGGAGCTCCTCTCCTCTCTCTCTGTCTCCCCCTTTTCCCTCCCACTGCTCTTGCTGCTGATCCATTGATCTCTGCTTATTTTTTTCCGCTCTCCCTGAGGTTGGGTTTGGAGTTAACTCCTCTCTGCCCAGCCTTCAGGCTCAAGCTGTTCCCTGCTCCAGCGAGGAGAGGGTGTCAGAGCAAAAGCCTGCTGCTCTCTGGTGGGAGAGGGAGGACAGAGGGAGGACAGGGTCCTGTGGACCCCAGTGCTCCTTGCAGGCACACCCCAATGCTGGGAGTTCAGGTCCTTCTGCCCAATACCTCCGGGGAACATAAATATCCCTCCATGGTGAGCCTGGGCCCTGCCCCATTCTTGGGATATGGGTCTAAGCCTTCTCGAGCACAAGCAATTAATTGCTATCGCTAGCTGTTATTAATTAATTGTTAGTAGCATGGCAAAGAGCAGA